GCTGCTGCAGCACTTCTTTTTTTTTTTTTATAGCTTTTCTTCCATTTCAAGCCAATCCAAAAGTGGAAGAGGCCAAGAAAGAGGCTGGGAACCTAAAAATACCAGGATCTGCTAAAATACAGAAACAATCCATCCTGGAATTCTGCTGAGGTCTGGAAGGTGCTGGCTTGATCTGATGTGACTGTTTGCAATTCAGGAGACTCGGGAAACATCTGAATTGAAAAGAAGAGAAAAGGAGCCAGCCCATAAGATGTTATAGTCCCGGTAATATTCATCCAAAATATTTTATATTTATCTGATGGGAAATAATTAAGTTGTTTTCTTTACATTTTTCATGTTCTAGTTGTATCCATAATAATTAATAGGGAAGGTGTGTAGGTGTGTGTGTGTGTGTACAATTTGATCACTAATGCAGATCAGCTTTAGAACAGTGTTTCGCAGCCTGTGTAACCTCAGGACCCAAGTTGTACCGCACTGGAATGCAGAGCAACAGTATTACCGCTCATTCCAGTGAGGGCGATCAAACTGCGGGTGACAGGTGCATTTGGGGTGCCAGTCAAATGAATGAATAAAAAATGAATGACCAAACTTATGAGATAGCCCCCACCTTCAAATTCTATATTTACAATATGTATATAGAGCGCCCAGAAATCTGGCTATTCATCATAAAGATAAACTGTTGAGATTGACTAATATACCTTTTTTTTTTCAATAAAATGAATTTTTCAATTAAATTTCTTCAGCAATTAACAACCAACTACAAAACCACAATGATCATTCACTTTTCAAGGTAAGTAGCTTAGTTTAAGGCACAATAGAGACAAGTGTCGCTTCCTATCCAAACGTATAAACATCACAAAAATCTTTTAAGTTCTCTAATAAAACAAAACTGTCATTATTCGTAAGAAACATCAGCGCTCCTCGGAATCAACCGAGAACAGCCGCAGAAAGGTCATCTTAGTCTGAGTGCAAGTGCAAAACCCCAAGGCATTTGACATTTCCTCTCTTAAATACCAGTTAGTATAACGAAAGGGCTTCAAGAGCTGCTCGATCTCCAAAGCTGTTAGAGATTTACCTATAAAATATCTTTAAAATTATCCTTTAATGTCACTTTAATAAGCATTTAGGGGGGAACAAGCAGCTGGTCAGGGTGCTTCTCTGTAGAGAAGAGTTGAAACAGTAGATTCAAAAGAAAATAATTTTCAGCCCCAGGGGCTCTAAAAGACCCAAGACTAAAAACAGCACTGCGTAGAAACAGGCTGATGCTCCAGAATTAGATTGCTGTGCACTGCATCAAAAAGAGCCAAAACAATCTCTTTTAATTTGGGAGTAATAGCAGACTGGGACACCTCCAGGATAAGCTTGTGTAGTAAAGACTGGAGTGACACAGAATAACAGTAGAAGCTGCTACGTCTGCGGGCAGATCATACACAGAATCTGCCGGGCAGAGGTTGCGAGTGTGCTTGTGTGCAAAAGTTAGGAAATAACTAGTCGATTTCGGATATAAATTCTTGAATGACCTTAGTGAAAACCTCAGCCAAAAGGCCCGAGGAACCAGACACACCCAACACAGCTGAAAAGGGCCACATGTTTCTGGGCTGTAGATAACCAGGACCTGGAAAGCACTCCATTGATAACTTTGTTTAAAGAGTGGAGTTTGGAAAGCACCCTACGCAGAATCCAGAGCCCACAGTCCATTTCCAGACTATCCCCACAATGTTCAGTCCTGATGCAGTGCTCCAAAAGAGAGCTGGATCCTCCTAAAATACTAGTTTTTTTTGTACCCGTGTCAAAACCTCTAGTTTATGATTTTAAGTTATAAAATAATATTGAAATTGTCCATCACAGATTACCTTTAATAATTGCATTCACCCACTTACCCCAGTGGTCCAAATAACTTGACAAGAGATTCCCTTGTGTCCACAGCTGCGACATTGGAGAGCGCAAAGTTGTAGAGTTCTGGGAAGTGTGCAAATGCTGCTCTCTAAGGAAAGAGATGTGAAGATCACCAAAATCCATAAAGAATAAAACATTTTTTTTTATCATTTCAGCATTCAATTAATACAATCTTACTAAAATAGTTCTCTATTGCTCGCTGCCTTTCCACAATAAATCACCACAAGATAAGAGAGGACACTGAGCATATCATACAATAACAGAACACAACATCAAAAATGTCATTTTAAGAAACCAGATTTTGCCTAAAGAGTACCGACCACTCAAACAACGCCAGTCTAAAAAGACAATCTCATGACATTTTATGACTTTCACATGTCTACATATAACCTAACAACATAGTATAGGACAAATTCTAAAACCAGTCCCGAACCAGGCAACTAGAATCACTTTCTGCCTGTCTGTCCTGCTTTAAGCAATGTAATTAAGTTCTGTGCTCACCCCCAGCACTGCGTCATTAAGACACAAGAACAGGGGAAAGTTCCTCCTGATTCGCTCTGCTCACTGTTACAACATGCCAAGAAGAAGTGGCCTTATTTCACAATAATATGAGTGTTTGAGCCATAGGGATACAATCAATAAGCATTTTCCCCAGAGATGAGATGGTTTCTTTCAGGAAATATTCCATAATTCAGATGGAAAACAGTTCATCTATCCTTCATTCAGAGATCTATTCTAAACTGCATGCAATCGTATCACATATGATTGCATGCGAAATGCTGCTTACGGATGCGGTCGCGGTCACTGTCACTCGGTCATTAACGTGAATGGGTACAGTGGCCACAGAGAAACAGGACATTTGGGGTTTCTGCCACAGCATGAATGAAGCCTTAGTATCAGCTACGAAGGGTATGGATACACTAATACAGATCTGTAATACAAATCACCCTGGGTCTGTCAATACAAATGTGTTTTAGTGTTGTGCAGGTACAGTGCGCATTGAACAAATCCATATTAAAACATTTTTTATTATTAAACTCATTATACACGTGTACATAGAATTGTGAATTAAAGATTTGTGAGACCTCTATACAGCATGCTGACATTTTATTCTAGGGTACTGGAGTGATTCTAGGGTGATGGAGTGACAAGTGACAGATGGCCTGCCCTGCCATCGCATATTAGTCCTGGCAAAGCTTGGAGATCATAATAATAAGTATAACCAGCACTCAAAAATGCTTTAGGAAGAACATTTATTGATAACATATATAAAGCAAAGTTTCAGAGTCGCTGCAAGGGCCCCACTATGGTCTGATAAAGGCAAAATGTTGCTTTATATAGGTGATCAATAAATATTACCTAGAGCATTTTGGTTTGCTGGTGACATACTTTGCTAACTGTACATATTCATATGATCTCAAGCTTTGCCAGTTTGCTGGCATATAAAATGGAATTTTTGTACTGTAAAATCCATTTCCTGGAGTCCATTGAGGGACACAATTTCAGATACAATTCAATTATACTGCTGCCTACAGGAGGAGTGGACACTGACAAACAAATTGTAATATGGGCCCCACTATAACAACTCTTGTACCAAGTATGCCTCAGTTTGGTGGTGAAGTAGTACCAAAAGCACGAACCAAAACCGCAGCGTGATGGGACCCAAGTACCTCAATGGACTCTAAAAAATAAATTTTACAGCAAGTTCAAAAATTCTATTTTCTTTTTTGCACATCGAGGACTGCAGGAATTAAGATACAGCAAGAAGATTCAAAAGCAGTCCAACTGAGGGACAGGCAACACAGTAACAGCCACTAACAGGCCTCACTAAGAGGACTGGGGACCGTCACCAGCGCAAAACTGTAAGAAGGCCCAATGTTTGAATCCGTAATGGATGCTAAAAGCTGATTCAGCAGACCCAGCCAAAAACAGGTGGTACAGCAAAAGACCCACCACCTGGTCAGCAAGAAACACTGGGGGTTACACAGAGAAGGTACAGCTAGTTTACATGAGAAGGCCCGTGGCCTTACAACCCCGACCCTCAGGATCAAGGGGATGGACCTCTGTGACTAAAAAGGTTACCTAGCCAGATAACCAATCTGACTAAGCAAAACATACCAGAGAATGTATGATATTAGTACACCACCATACCCACAAGTGTCATGAAGAAACTTGTGAGCCACTAAAGAACTCAAGGGATAGATTCTACAACGTCAAAATGACAGCACATAAAAAGACGACCAGGAACTGAATTGTAAGAAAGAAGGCTACCAAAAAATGATTATACTTTTTCAGCAGAACCGAAAAGACATCCTCACAAATAACAGAGGCATGCTGGGAAAAGAGGTTATACTGGGGGCTGCCTTACAATAATATTGTGTACCGGTGTCCAATTCTTCTGTAGACAGCAGCAGAACCCAACCATACCCGATTCCTGATTTGTAATATCTACATGGAAAGCTAAACATACCTGTAGAGATGTTATGCGATCATAGTGAATGGTGGTCATTTCATTTTCTGTGAGCGCATTGCCAGTCTGGTCATTAATTTCAAAGCCAGTGTAGAACTTTAACATGTCTAGAAGCTATAAAATATGTAAATGATTAGTGAGGCTCTACAATTTAATCCCATATGATCAACTGTCGCAAACATTAGACAACGTACCTGAGAAAACAAATGTCCTTCCTCCTCTCTTTTGCAGAGGTTGGATAAATAGCAGTGTACAACCAGGTGAGAATCATCCAGAACCGTGTTGAACCAGCGGCGGGTGGGGAGTAAAGCCTGAGTGGATAACCAATACTCAGTCAGAAATAATTGGACACTTATTTCACACCATTAAAAAGAAAAGCTAGTTTTTTGGGGTGGGGGGTTTCGAGAAGCAAAATCCTAATCAATGAGCAAGAATTTTAGCCATATGTTTCTTTAAATACAAAGATGACTGGTGTTACTGCTGAAATACTTTTACAGCGGGGCCTAAAGTGAATGTAAACCCCAACAATGGAGTTTTTTACTCTATTTTAATCTGCTAAAGCCTATCACCTCCCGTCCATAACATAGTGGTGAGCTGTTCTGGAGATCACAAAGGAGAACTGAGCAGGCCTGACAACACTGCTAGAAATTTCAGTGCATTATAGGCAGATAGCACAGGAAGTTACAATGCCCACAAGGTTTCTGTTAAGACCAAGAGGAATGGTTTTGCACTTATGGAATAGATATAACATAACACGTTCTATGGTATATTTAAAGCCGATCTACAGGGGGTATAAAACATACAAACAAAAACCTGTCAGTGGTGCTACCTCCTCACTGAAATGGATAATTGTTCTTGTATGTCTAGGTATGTTCTTGTATGTCCAGCTACCCCCCTCGGTCGGTGCACACCTCTCTCCCCTATGCTCTGGCTTATGTACTGTCCTCAAATATAAAGCAGGGCTGTGGGTCCTGCATTGTATGTGATGACACCAGTGGGCCTCCAACCTCCATAGGGGTAAGAGTCTTCAGAAGCTGAATTCAGGTGAGTAAAAGTCCTTTACAAAATACTCCTAGACACAAAATGAACAATTAACTACTGCAGTCAGGAGGTAGTCCCACTGAAAGGTTCTTTTTTTTCCCCTGTAGATCGGCTTTATATATACACCATTGAACGTGTTATGTTATAGCCACTTGATAAGTGCAAGAACTATACTGTGGATCTTAACAGAAACCTTGTAGACTTGTAATTTCCTGTGCTATCTGCCTATAAGCAATACGTATGTTTTGCACGGACGTCATTAAATAGACGTATTCTATCCACTATTGGAGTGCCGGTGTCCATATTTGTCTGGATTACGGAGACGGTGGCCATTCGTCGACTACCGATGTACCAATCTTATCTTAATGGATGAGCGGTCAGGAGTGCAATGAATAGATGGACTGGATCTGCCTATCATGCACTGAAATCTCAAGCAGTGTTGTCAGCCCTGCTCAGTTCTCCCCTGTGATTTGAAGAACACCTGCCCTCTATATTATGGAGAAGAGGAGCGGGTGTTCTGTGGTCCTAACTCACGCCATGTCTTACAATGACAATGCTAACAGGCCTGAAAATTTAAAACTAACAATACACCACATCTAAAAGATGGCAAGTTGTCATAATATTTTATTCTTGGGTTTAAATACATTCTAAAGCAGCACAAGAGCAGATTTTAGTTATATCTGATATGTTAGGTTAGCAGACTAAGAGGTGCAGAGCCTACCTGACTGGAAATACATTGAATGAAATGTTTCGATAGGTAGGCCTATCGAACGCCATTCTTTAGTTTATACCTTTACTATGAATGGCATTATTAGTCCCAGTGTTGGTATTAGAAACTCTAAAACTCCCAGCATTCTTTATGATGTGTAGAACTATTTGCAGGTATGTTACCAAAGCCTGAACTCCCAGAGTACTCACTCAAAGGACATTGCAGGAATAACATATTTCATGCAACAGGCTGCCTCAAAATCTAGGCAGACGTCAGGGAAACAAAGCAGCGTACCTCTAAATCAATCATGAGTTCTATAAAGCGCTCACAATAGTGGATTTTTTCCAGGGAGACAGGACCTGCAAAGTAAACAGAAACCACATCTCAGAATGCGATAATCATACCTGCAGAGTTAGATTTTATAGGCAGATTTTCGTTTGTTAAATACACATTTTAAAGCAGATGTTGTTACATCTGTTCAATAAGAATACTTCAGACTTAATCAGAACGGTCTCATCCTCTTGGTTCTTACCTTGGACTACAGAATAATTAGTGTCTATGTTGTAAAGATGAAAACAGCAAGGGAATTTTAACGGTATGTATGGTCAAAAAAATGTATATGTATTTCTATATTAAATTTCCATACGTTCTATCCCACTCCCAATAACCATATCCATCTAGAAGTTTGTAAGCCTACTTATTGAAGATGTCCACTGCTACTCTCGTAAAGCCTGCTGTCTGGACTACAACTCAACCTTTTCCCCCTGTCTGACAGCGAACACAGGAAACACCCACAAAGTAATATCATCATTGCTTGTTGGAAGCAATGCATGATGGGATATGTAGTCTTGAGAAATCAAAATTGCATCACATCAAGCAGCAGGGAAAGAGATGCAAAGCACACGGGGAATCTAGGAAGTTGTTGCAAGTGATGGGCAGACTGAAGGCAGCACACACTAAATGAAAGTGATTTTTTTTCAAGTAAGCTTTGGATTGCATTATCAAAAACAACTCTAGTATGTATTCCTATTACAATGCTCATGTTATGAAAAGTTAGTATATGCTGTGACTTTAGAACTCCTATAATACCTTAGCAAAAGACAACTGGGCAGAGCCAACACCACTCAGTCCACAAAAATGCTGTGTTGCCAGCCTACAACAGGACTCGGGAGCAGAGTGCATTTCTGACAGATGAAACAAGGATGTAATGGAGATCCATCCAAAAGAGGCCCACAGAAGTTTGACCAACAGACGAAACAGGTTGGTGTATCACACTCTGCGAGGTGTGATACACCACCGATTATTATGTAAGCCAATGCCGCAGCATCTTCAGATTGGATCCAAACCAGAACACATGCGAGAAGGGGGGTCCAATAAGATAACATAAGGCGCATTGCCTGCAACTTCAGGATGTTGATAGGCAAGATTGGATTCCTCCTGAGACCAGCAACCCTGAACTGAACAGATGATCCAGAACTCCTCCACAACCCAAGAGATTGGCGTCCCTTGCGACAACCTTTTAATGAAAGGTAGAAAGGATTTCCCTTGCGTCAAGGCGGGAGAAATCAGCCACCAGGACAGAGATATCCTGGCTCAGGAACTCAATCTCATCACCTTGACCAGTGAGATTGGACTTGTGCCACAATGCGAGAACGCTGTGTTGAAAAATCCTGGAGTGAAACTGAGCAAACGGACCTGCTTTGAAGGTGAATACCATGAAGCCCAGCACTCATGCAGAACCACAGGAAGGATCGCCGATGAGAACAATGCAGGTAAATTTAACTCTGCAACATGGCTGAATTGCCCTGCGGAAGAAAAACCTTGGCCAGGGATGCATTGAAAAGAAGACCCAAGTACTCCAGGTGATGCGATGGAATCAGAATCCATCTGAAGTTCTGTAAGGTTCTTGCTACTGTGGACACACTGGTTTCCAAAGTCAGAGAAGACCATTTGTGAAACAAAAGATCATCTAAGTATCCAATACATAAATTTGTGGCCGGGGCCTGGGTAATAGGTGCCACACCGCTGAGAAGATTAATGGCAAAAAAGAGATAAAGATGTCATAATAATAACAATTCCAAAACGGTTGACCGTAAAAAAGTGTTTTTCATGTAAATAATTTAAAAGGTATTAGATGTAATATATTTCATGTAAAAACAACCAGCTAGTCAGATGTCTCCTAATAAGCTCACTCCATTAGTAAACCACCCATTGCAAGAGTAATTAACATGATGACATGATTAGAATTCATTGGAGTTGATTCAAAATACCTGTTGACCATGTCAGAAATTCAGGAGTTATTGAAGGTTTTTTTTTTCTTTACACACACTTTCTGTTCTATATCAGGCCCCATTCAAACCAGGCGGCAGCAGTTCAGAGTTTTGAAAGGGCGTTTTTAAAGTGTGTTTCAGCGGTGAAACTCAATTAAAAAAAGGCCAAAAACGTGCTGATCAGTGCATTTCCATTGAAATCTATGTGGAAAACAGGCTGATCAGTGTGACAACAGTAGCTCAGGGAGTATCTTGGGCTGCAGGCATTTCGGATCACACAGATCCGCGCGTGCATGAACGGCCCCCATAGGAATGTATGGGATTGTTCATGTAGGCAGTTCAGCACGGAAAAATCCACGAGACCGAAACACCCTGGTGTGAACGGGGCCTCAAGGAGTCTACACAGTTACATAGTAGGTGTGGTTGAAAAAAAGACACAGGTCCATCAGGTTCAACCTATATAGTGTGTGTATATGTATATATGTATATATGTGTATATGTATATGTATGTATATATATATATATACACACACACATATAATGCTAGGAATTTCCATAACCCTGTATGTTTTGTAAACTGAGGAACTCATCCAAGTGTTTTTTGAAGCAGTTTATGTTTCCCGCTGATACAACTATCTGTGGAAGTGGATTTAAAATCTTTACCACTTTCAAAAGTAAAATACCCCTTACACAAGGTTATACCTCATCCCCTCCAACTACTTGCCGTGTCTTCCTCAAGGTACTTGGATTAAGTAATGCATTCCCAATACTGCTGTCCCCATTGATGAGTTTGTAAACTGTAATCAGGTTTGAGTCGTTTAGCAAAAGACAACTAGGCAGGGTTGGCACCACTCAACCCACATAAATGCTGTGTGTTGTCAGCCTGCAACAGGCTTAAGAACCGAGAGCATTACTGGCAGCTTATTAGGTATTTTTGTGTACTTGCATGGACTTTAGAGGGATAAAACGTGGAAATTAGCATGTATTGCAGAGATGTACTGCATATTATTTATGTTTTATTTTGCCCTGACAAACACTTAAGGCCACAATCAAATTGGGCACACACATACCAGGTCATTCAGTTCAGCCCAGAATCTCATTTCATTTCCTCAAAAATGTTTGCAGTTACCTGTGGCTTCAATTGATCTGAGCACAGACAAGAACTTCTGTATAAGCTTCCGCAGAAATATCCTTTCCTCTCTGGCCCTGCAGAGTTCAAGAGAGATGGGACATTGAGGTCAATGCACAAGAAGAAACAATAGGCACTCGGGAAGTCTTAGTATTTTTTCACTATATAAAACTACCGGAAATCCCAAAAGTCTATGTCATAGGTACAGTATGTAACATTTTAATACATGTTGACAGGGTAACAGTACTGAACTACAGTATATTCAGGCTTTGTAAATGTTTAATATATTACATACATCTCTCCTGCCTTCTGGTCCATCTTCTCATCAGTCTTCTTAATGAGGTTCCAGAACCTCCGTAGTTTTTGGGTCTTTTTTAGTTCCTGCTCCAGACGGGCCTATAATGTAGATATCAGTTATAGTGAAGAGCTGCAACACCTATATGTAAACACTCCATTCTGAAATAAAAATTCTACTGACGTCCCACATCACTATCAAATTATTGTAAAAAGCATGACGTTATAAAAGCATACCGGCTGCAGACAGGACCACATGGGCAGTGATATGAGCTGCTGAATTTGTCCACGAATTAAATCAACCTCCTGCAAAATAATAAAGAGCAAATTCAGACATCTGAGGGTAAACATCAAGAAGCAGAGATCATACAGGAAAACAATTTAAAGAAATTACATCAGAAGGATTTACAATTCCCTCTAATGTATACTGATATTTGATTACCATTTGCCAAGGCAATATGAAAAATAATCCGATTCTCACAGAACTGCATCAAGATATCATTGGTGGAGGCATCCAAGAATTGGCTGCACGGGTGTTTCTGGAACTTTATGCATACGGACTTTGATTTTATCATATATGATTGAATTCACCGTTGATATTTAATGCACAATCACTTTATTACTTATTTCATCGGAGGATCTTGCATTATTATAGCTATGGATTAAAATTGAATTTTATATTGCTGGATTTATTGTAGATAATTGATACGGTATTATTTATTGCACAGTCACCTTAGTATATAGTACACGGATTTTGACCACATACAGATCCTACACTGAGTCAGGATTAGAGCGCAGCACATTTTGTATATGATTTAAAATAGAACTATGGGGGTAACCTTTTTATCCCATAGTTCTCTTTAGGGTCACGAAAGGAAATATACCAATGTACTCCCATGACCCAAAGCTCAGTATATATCATGCTATTGCCCGCGATATACTGAGAGTGCCGCAGCCGGGACGGATCCCAACAATACTGTTGAGATCCACCCAGCTGGCTGATTGACAGTGGGCTCTTCCTATATAGAGGCAGCTGTGCCCACCCCCTCCCCCATCTGTTCCTCCAGTCAGCGCTGGGGGATCGGAGAAGGCAGGAATCCCTGCGGGGAGCCGTGACTGACAGTCACCGCTCTCTGCAGGGAGATGATCGGGAAGTGAGCGAGCGGCGGTATGTTTTCACTCAATTCCTGATCTATAGAGTCGACGTGTGACAGTTTCAATGTCACACGTCAGCTCAAACTATGAGGATGAGTGTAAATCCCTCAACCCATAGTTCTTTAAGCATCTATATCTATCTATAGATAGATCTATATCTATATATATATATATATATATATATACACACACACACATAAGAGTTACACACACAATGTATTGCTGTTAAAAGTAGACTAAACATATGTAATTCGATAAAACGTATAGTTACTAGGCTGTTGAAGCAGTGATCCAGGAAAAGGAGGAGAATTGTGCGCTCATGTAATGTGCAATCACTTTTTGATTCTTCTGGCACGGACGCTTCCATTATACTCTTGAAGAAATGGGGGAAATGTTCTGGCTTCTTCTTAAAAGTCTAAAAATTATACAAAGGATTGCATACATTTCAAGATTAACCATAGTTTTCTCTTAAACAAACTGGATTAATGTTACATCTTACTCTCTGACTTCTTAAATTGCAGCCTCAAATCACTCAGGAGCAGTGAGATGTTATGTTTAAAAGACGGGCGCCGATCTGTTACAACAGAACTGGGCCATAGAGCATCAACTGTATTTTCATGCGCGGGCCTGGACCAATTACAGAGCTTTCAATGCGGCCGGCTCAGTATGTTCAGGGGCAGGATGGGGCGTGGCGCTCCATTGAAGTGAATGGCACTGCAGCCTCGCCCTCCGGCCCCAATGCGATCGGCCGCACGTGGACGCAAGGCATATTATGCCTGGGGTCTGGTCGGTCCGGTCCGAACAAAATAGTGCTTGCAGCATTTTGTTTGGACCGGAGCGTAGGCATAATGTGCCTTGTGTTCCTGTGTGGCCGATCGCATTGCGGCCGGAGGGCATGACTACTGTGCCATTCACTTCAATGGACGCCCCCTCCGGTCCCACAACATACTGAGCCGGCCGCAATGCAAAGCAGTGCGTTCTGGCCAGGATCGGGCCGGAACGCACTGTGACTGGTGTGAATGAGGCCTAACTCAAACGGTATAGAGGTAACCCCAAATTAGTGTTGTCCTTAAACATTATGCCGCAAAAAAAGCCAACAAGACATCATCTGAAGAACCAAGTATAGCATCTTCTTCTATTAACCTCCTTATTTCCTGAAATACTTTATTATTTACAGTACAGATGGTTTCTTTTTTTAAAGAGAACCATCTAGTAATCTATAAAACATTGACAGTCGTCAATAATACTAGCTGGCTTATAAAAGAAATAGCAATTATAAGAACTGGCACATTTTTCTTTGGTCCAGTGCCACTCTGATCAGCTTTCCTGCAGATTATGAGAGTAACCCGTCCTTTTTCTTGAGAGGTAGGGGTAGAAAATGGCTGCTTCTCCCATCAATAGAGCCGACAAGATGTGTACATATGCATATGCCTTTACTGCATCTGTCATCAAGTTACTGATATTACTTCTATATTAATCTGATTCTTATTTCCCTTCATCTACCAAACTGCCTTGCCTACTAAAGGTGCTCACATTCTCCAGATGGCTAAAAAAAATATAAACCATAAGTAGAAGCTACATAGCTAAATAAAGGTCTTACCTCCCAAGCAGGGACGTTTTCACGGAACTTCTCATTCACCATACAGCAAATAGACATTAAGTAGGCTTTACTAGACACCTCTGCCGAGTAATTTACCCACAAGTAGTTCTCAAGGTACTGGCTGTAACATACATGAAAATAAGAATACATGTTTACATGGCATCCAATTCACATCTAGATACATTATGATGTATGGCCTAGATTCTTCAGAGTGAACCAAACTTTTAAAGTGGCATAATATATGCCTGAATAAGAAGCATACAAACAAGCTGCAGCTCATGGGTGTTACACTCACATGTCTTAGACAACAACTTTTCGAATGTTAGGCAGATGTACAGGTGTGGACAAATTTGTTAGAACCCGTATAGCTGATTGAAGCGATGCTTCACTTCTCTTGAAAAGTGATTAAATGAAAAGCAATTGCCTCATATAACCGGCATGCCTTTGGTATGTTATAGAGAAAAGGAAAGAAAATGTGAAGAGAGATAAATGATAGCTTAATGTGCAATCTTAAAAAGGCCCGGACAAATGTGTTGGTACCCTTAGAAAAGATTATAAATAAGTCGATCATAGTGATATTTCAAACTAACTGATTTCTGTAATTAGTATTACACGTGTTCTCAATCTGTAAACATTCAGTCAGCCATTTACATGGAGAAAAGTAGTCACTTTGCTGTTTGGTATCATCATGTGCACCACACTGAACATGGACCAGAGAAAGCAAAGGAGAAGGTTGACTAAGCAGATCAGAAAAAAAAATGTATGATCGAGGAATTTTGGAGCCAACGGTATTGCCCGATGTCAGAAAGTTCTGTCTCACACATAAAGAGTTACCAGCACAATGCCGTTCCTTTGATTCTAGAAAGCTCTGTCTCTGTTGCAGGTAATGGATTCTCCAAGAGGATAATGACCCAAAACACAGCTAAAATAACCCAAGAATGGCTAAAAACAAAACAAATGGACAATTATGAAGTGGTCTTCTATGAGACCTGATCTGAATCCTGTTCAACATCTCTGGAAAAAGCTGAAACATACATCCTGAAGAAGGCACCCTTCAAGCCTGAGAAAGCTGGAGCAGTTTCTTCAGCACTTTTGTCCATGCCATTTTCATTTGTTTCTTTATTTAAGATATCAAATCAAAAATTATAAGCAAAGTCTGATATTTATTAAAATATGGAACGATGATGGATGCCAATTACCTTGGTCAGTTTTAAGTTATCTGAGAGAAACTTATGGGTTTTCTTTTTAGTAAAGGGTACCAACACATTTGTCCATGTTTGTACATGTACCACTCCTTAAGGCCGTGACACACTGCATGTGAAGCAAAGCTGTCGGGCACAGAGCTCCGCATGCAGTGTGTGAGCCGAGTGCAGCCAGATGAAAGACTGCATCTTCAGCCAATCAGCAGATGCAATTCGCATCGTGACGCGCGGGTTTATACGCGCAAGCCGATTGCCTGAAGATATAATGTTGTGTGTGTGTGTAATTATGTTTTATTCCTTTTTTAAAGGCGTTTTACCAGGGAGCTTTAGGTGAATATGAGGGGTCCAAACAGACTGTTGAGGTTTCCCCTTGAGGGTAAAGGGAGAGATCATGGACACAGAGTCCTCCATCTCCTTCTTCTCTATCCGACCCTCACTGCTGATTGCAGAAGTGATCAGTACTGAGCATTCCTGTGTTCATACACAAACTGAAGGGATAGTAAACATGTTGTGCTCACAATCTCTTCAGTTATGAATGAACACAGGCTCTGCACTCCCATGGTCATACAGGAAAGTAAAGAGATAAGTAAATATAAGAACAGGTTCACTGATCTCCAGCTCGCCATCCTGAAGTGATTATATCCTCCAAGGCGTGGTGGAGGAGAGCAGTCGGGAATCCAAGGGCTCACAGAAGGTAGCATGTTGTGGAGAGAAACAGACTGCACGGAGGACCTTACAGGCAGGGCACACCGAGCAGTCACATTTGTTATGAATGGCAGTGATTAGCGGCTTGTCAGTTGCTGCTCAAAGCTATTCATTAAAGGAGAACTACAAGGTGAGTAATTTTCACTCACCTCATAGTTCTAGCCGACCTGTGACAATGAGACTGTCACAGGTCGGCTCAGTAGATTGGGAAGTGAGCGAACACATACCGGCGTTCCCTCACTTCTCGATCCTGCCACAGCTCTATGCCGTGACAGGGGAGTGGCTGGAATCCCCCCTCCCCGCTCTGATCCTCCAGGGCTGACTGGCAGAATGGACGGGGGAGGGTACAGCTGGCTCTGCCTCTAGATAGGCAGAGCCAGCTGTCACTCACGCAGCTGGGTGGATCCAGACATAATTGTCGGGATCCGCTTCAGCTGCGGCGTCTCAATATACTAGGAGCTGTAGCAGTATACTGAGCTTAGGGTGACGGGAGGACGCTAGTTTGTGTCCTCCCGTTACCATAAGGAGAACTATGGGGAAAAGCCTTAACCCCATAGTTCTCCTTTAATCAGAAGATGCTAGGGGACCCTTCTGCTGGAGTTCATGGTCTCTGAACGGACCCTGAGCTTACAGCAGAAGGGAATTCCTCTGTTGTAGGAGTTACTGAGCTGGCTAGCTGCAAGCAGTTCTGTAACCCTTACGTCGATGGCAGTGAAAGAGATAATACACTCATGACACAGGATGAACTGTGTTTAGGTGTAGACTCTCCCTAATAAAACTTCATATATTCTTTAAGGGAGAGATATGACAGGGATGCATCACTGCTCTAACTGTACCATAAAATGAAAATGCAAAACAACAAGGAAGAGCTCCATCTCTTTAGTGAGAGGACAATACCCTAAGCTCTAGACTGCATAACGACTCGTCACATAACTCACCTGAACTCTAATAGCATTATCTTCCGGATTGCAAACCTGTAAAGACAATACCAGCCGTTAGAACCAAGTACAAAAATGGGCAACCACTTTTCATCAGTTTGCTTTAGGTAGTAACATGAAAAGCTGTAAACATACAACTCAGAATAAACATGTACAGCAAGATTACTAGATAAGCAGAATAAAGGGTAGCAAACGTCCAGCAGAGACCAGCAATAGTGGGACCCCAGGAGGTGTTTTCATAATGTGCCTTATAGTTGATCCCCTCCAGTGCAGCCATCTTCATCCGATCTTCTTCAGGGCTCAGTGTCTTCAGCCTCTTGATTGGCTGGGCTGGGATGATGTAACTCCCGCGCATGTGTGACAGATAGAAAAGGAGCGTTTATGACAGAAGAGACATACAGGGTCTCTTCTATCATAAAACTAGAAAAGAATGGTAACCACATACCATGTTTCCCCGATAAGACACTGTCTTATATTTTTTTTGGCTCAAAAAAGCACACTAGGTCTTATTTTTTTTCAATGTACAACAATCCACACTTATTCATGTACAAAAATATGGTGATCAGGGCAATCAGGGGTGCTGTACCTTTCCAAGAGCAATTTGCTAACCAATCGCTGGCCAGAATGAGCGAAGCGCACTTTCACTATCCCCACAGGTAGAGTGCATTTGGTATCACTCCGCCTGTGACAGGAGCCGGTGCTATAGAGGAGGCATCGGCTTATGCGGCTCTGCTCCCTACGGTGCCGCCTCGCTTCCTCTAGCGCTGGCTTGGTTGGCACCGCTGATTCTCTCCTGCCTTTCCCGCGGCTCTTCAAGTTCCCCCTTATGCCACCGTTGGCCCTGGGAATGGTCACAACTAGGTCTTATTTTCGGGGTAGGTCTTATATTTTAGCAATTCCCAAAAATAGTACTAGGTTTTATTTTCGGTGTAGGTCTTATTTTCGGGGAAACAGGGTACATTTATAACCAGCCTTGGTAGCAGGGTTTTTCACTTGGTAGCAGGGTGCACATGGGAAGGCTTACAACAATACAAAACACAAAAAGAATCCCCAGCATGCCTGCCAGCCAGCCTGCAACAAAACAAGTTACCCTGTCAACAGTATGCGTTAAATGCAGAGGTTTTAGATGCACAAACCTTTGGCCAAAAATATGTAGAAGCCACACTGCCACTGTCAAGGTACCTCTGTAAAGTGTGGTCCTAACTCTATTTATGAGTCTACATGTCCATATGCTCCAACATGGAGACTCATAAATAGAGTTAGCACCACACTTTACAGAGGTACCTTGATGGTGGCAGTGTGGCTTCTACATATTTTTGGCCAAAGGTTTGTGCATCTAAAACCTCTGCATTTAACGCATACTGTTGACAGGGTAACTTGTTTTGTTGCAGGCTGGCTGGCAGGCGTGCTGGGGACTCTTTTTGTGTTTTGTCTTCTATCATAAAAACCCCACCTGTCAGCATTTTTTTAAGTCTTAACTTTACTTCCACTTTAAAAGCCAGCTGTCCCCAAATGCCCATAGTTTCTGATCTTTGAAGCAGATAGAAAAACTTGAACATCTCCTGTATAAAAATAAAGTTTATAAAAAATAAAATTAAAATAAAAACATTTTCGGTTTTGGCCTGACAATTTTTTTCTATTTCGGTTTTTAAATTTCTATTTCGGTGCGCCTCTAGTCTGTACGCTACATGGAGTGCAGGTGATTTTGGATTATCTATCTACTGTAGGAGGACACACAAAAATAACACAACAAAAACAACTTACCTTGACTTGACAATCTCCTTGGAGTAAATATCTTCTATCACCTGTGAAATATTCAGAAAATAAAAAAAGAACACGTGATTATATCATATCATCAAATTCCATTTACCAAGTAAAATAAATGAAGTCTTTCAATGAAAACCTGTACTGACAGAAATATGTAGGCTGCCATTGCTAACCACCCTCTGAACATATTGGTTGTCTGGCTGTCATCGACCTCCAAACTTTCCAAGTCATTGACCCAGAACAAGCATATAGCTAATAAAGTCAGAAGAAAGTGAAAACTCCTGATCTGCATAACTGTTCCGAGCCAGTGACTCAGGAAATACCCCGTTACTGCTCTATAGTCACATAAAAGCCAGACAACTAGCATTTTCAAACAGAGAACCAAGTAGCAGCCTATATGCTTCCTCATCACAAGTTTCCTTTCAAACTAACAATAGTCCTAAAAACAAAGCAAACACCTTGATTGTTTAATAAGTACTTTTATTCTCTGGCTGTCAGTGAAGAAGTGTCAGGCTAGAAGGCCGTTTCATGCCTTAGCTCAGTGCTGACAACAGACACTCAGAAAATGCCACATAATAAAGGTGTTGTCAAGATTATATGAAAGACGACAAAATCTTGTCAACACAGAGCCACTTGTACTCCCAGCATCACCTGTACTTACCTTTCAAGTGGCTCATGTATTGACAAGCTGCTGCTTCTCCACTCCGCAGCCACTGAAGCATGTGACTGGTCAGACAGGTCAGATTCTTACAAATTGAAAAACTTGAACATCTCCTGTATAAAAATAAAGTTTATAAAAAATAAAATTAAAATAAAAACATTTTCGGTTTTGGCCTGACAATTTTTTTCTATTTCGGTTTTTAAATTTCTATTTCGGTGCGCCTCTAGTCTGTACGCTACATGGAGTGCAGGTGATTTTGGATTATCTATCTACTGTAGGAGGACACACAAAAATAACACAACAAAAACAACTTACCTTGACTTGACAATCTCCTTGGAGTAAATATCTTCTATCACCTGTGAAATATTCAGAAAATAAAAAAAGAACACGTGATTATATCATATCATCAAATTCCATTTACCAAGTAAAATAAATGAAGTCTTTCAATGAAAACCTGTACTGACAGAAATATGTAGGCTGCCATTGCTAACCACCCTCTGAACATATTGGTTGTCTGGCTGTCATCGACCTCCAAACTTTCCAAGTCATTGACCCAGAACAAGCATATAGCTAATAAAGTCAGAAGAAAGTGAAAACTCCTGATCTGCATAACTGTTCCGAGCCAGTGACTCAGGAAATACCCCGTTACTGCTCTATAGTCACATAAAAGCCAGACAACTAGCATTTTCAAACAGAGAACCAAGTAGCAGCCTATATGCTTCCTCATCACAAGTTTCCTTTCAAACTAACAATAGTCCTAAAAACAAAGCAAACACCTTGATTGTTTAATAAGTACTTTTATTCTCTGGCTGTCAGTGAAGAAGTGTCAGGCTAGAAGGCCGTTTCATGCCTTAGCTCAGTGCTGACAACAGACACTCAGAAAATGCCACATAATAAAGGTGTTGTCAAGATTATATGAAAGACGACAAAATCTTGTCAACACAGAGCCACTTGTACTCCCAGCATCACCTGTACTTACCTTTCAAGTGGCTCATGTATTGACAAGCTGCTGCTTCTCCACTCCGCAGCCACTGAAGCATGTGACTGGTCAGACAGGTCAGATTCTTACAAATGTCCATTCCTGACTAGTTCTCTAGCTTTATATAAACATGAAATTAATAAATGACTAGAGCAAGTGAGTATTTTATATCCATTTCCACTACAGCCTTAACACTCTCGGTGTGCCAGAGAATTATCTCCATCTTTAAAGAACTCCAGGCGAGTGATTTTCACTCAATCTCATAGTTGGAGCCGACGTGCGACAATGAAACTGTCACACGTCCGCTCAATAGATTGGGGAGTGAACACATACCGCCGCTTGCTCACTTCTCGATCACCTCCCTGCAGAGAGCTGTAGTTCGCGATATACTGAGCTTTGGGTGATGGGAGGACGCTAGTATATGTCCTCCCGTGACCCTTAGGAGAACTATGGGGAAAAACACTTACCCCATAGTTCTCCTTTAAAGCAGGAATGCAGAGCACAGACGGGCCTGGAGGCAGCTTATTACAAGGGAAAGACTGCACTCAGACCCTCAGTCCTCAGACCTGTCTGACTGCTACCTCCCTTGAGACCCGCTGGCTGGGAATGTCTAAAGCCAAAGCCAGACATAAAATCATCTCCCAATCTGACCAAACAATGTTTGGATCAGAGAATGATCCTACCAGCACCAAACAATGTTTGGATCAGAGAATGATCCTACCAGCACCAAACAATGTGTGGATCAGAGAATGATCCTACCAGCACCAAACAATGTGTGGATCAGGGAATGATCCTTCCCACCACAAACTCAGTCTT